AAAAATAGTGTGGCCTTTGGTGTGGTCTCGGTCTTCTCTAATTATCTAGAAGTTATTTGACCTTGTTTTCGCTACTTGCTCGTATTGTCTGGAAAACCTGGAGGAACGCATTTTGCTGGAGTCCATAGTACGCATGATAATTTTCAGAGTCGGATACTGGACTTGGTAGATTCCAAGACGTTCCTCTGGCATCGTAGTCAGCATCGTTAATAAGCCTTTGCCACTTGGCACTACACTACAACTCGTCAAAAAGACAAATGAAGTCAATCCCTTAACCCAGTGGTCTCCAAACTTTTCCTAGTCGCGGCGCCCTTTTTCAATTAAAATTTTTCCATGGTGCCCTAGCCTAAGTATGACTATTCGTAAGTAAGAGATAAAAATAAATAAAACTCGTTTATCTTTATTATTTTTTTAACTTTATTAACATTAAATTAATAATTAATATTTATTGTGATGGATGAACCTGCAAATTATTGCACATTTTCTCAAATTGAAGCTTTTACAATATTTCGCGGCGCATCTGTAAAGAGGCCGCGGATCGTCGGGGCGCCGCGGCGCACAGTTTGGGAATCATTGCCTTAACAAATTGTCTGCCAAACATAAATATTGCTGAGCACACTTATTTATGTTCCTTGTATCTCCTCTTTGTTTATTGACGTCATCCTGGATTTACACCGCTTAACTTTCGAATCTTATTTTTATCACCGAAAGGGATTATAGAAAAGTTATTCCTTCTATACCACTTAGTCGTGTTGTTGATACGACGGCCAAGTTGCGAAAAAGAAGTGAAACCACTTTTAAACATCACGTATTCGTTGATCCCTTCAGCTGCGCTAGTTAAGCTGTTTAAATCGAAGTCAATAAGGACAACACCTAGGCAACACCATCTTGGTCTTCATACATACAATTACGCGACGTTTGTTTCCAAGCTCTGGCCTCATGGTTTTCCTTGGTTCATCGAATGACTTTCCTTCCAGAGCACATTCCATTTCAATTATTTTAATCCACCTTCAGCCCTAGCAACTACGAGCGCCCGACTCTCGGAAACGATAATCTAGTCCGCAAAGTATATAAGGACAGGAGGTCTTAGGCTCTTTGTCTCACTTCCACGAAGCTTAATGTTCTTTGACCTATCATCTCGTATGAAAGGTTGAATGGAAAGGATTCATTAATTCTCCTTTCCAGAAACCGCAGGAGGATTGTCTTACAGCTATAACGGCTGGTTTGTACGAAGAGAACCTCGGCACATCGTCCTGTGACCTCGATTCATCTGTGCTCGACTTCTGTCTACGACAGTGTGAAATGTGAAACAAATTTATAGTAAAAGTCAGTAAGCACAACACCAAGAAGAGAGAAACATGAAGCAGCCAACCAAATCATGGGGTGCTCCATAAAGACACAAAAATAATTCACATAAAATAGGCAGGATTGCAGCTGACCCTTATTCCTGGCTTCATGCTTGGTGAATTTCACCATAAAATGGTTTCACACTTTAAGGACATTTGCCGAATGGCAGACATAAGCAACGAATCATCATGATGGCAAGACGTGCAGAGAACTTCAAACATATCAGCAGCCGCTACTCCAAAGAAAACCTTCCTAAGATAATTGTACAGTGCGGATTACCTTTTAGGTCATAAGTCTCCAACTTTAATTATGAAGAAAAACTGGGTTTCTAAGAATTCCTTAATGAAATATTTTGGCATGCTCTCCATTTTGAAGAGAAAATTGGTTGGAAGTAATTCGGGATGTGGTCTCATCGGAAACCGGAGGATTGCCGCTTAGGAAAGACTTGAATTGTGCGAATAAGTTCTTGGCTCACGGTCCTGAGACCCCGATGAAACTGTGCTAAGCTTTCGTCTGCGAAATAGAGCAAAGATAAACGAAACTGAGAGAAAAGGTTGTCAGCTGCAACCCTAGTCGCTTTTTTATATACGTAATATCGCGATCTTAATAAGACATCCCATGATTGGTTGGCTACCTCAACCTTACTATACATTCTTGCAAATGAGTGAAGTTAACTTCCTGAACCGGAAGTGTGTTCGGTGGCAGGTGTTTCATTACACAAACAAACTAGTGTACGATCCTCAAATGTTGACTCATATTTGGGCTTGTGCTGTTGTCTATTGTGTGTATGTAATGTTCATGTCATGGGAAGTGTGATAACCTTAGCTAGATTCGAGGCTAATCCAACCTCCTCTTGCTCAGTGGCTCTTCCCGCATTCCCTCTCTCTCCCTTTCCTTAAGTCTATCCAACAACTACAAATAGTTCCTAATCCGCTTTCTACACTAGTTCCTGCTATTCAAGATGTTGACTGTTTTGTTCATTTCTATAGAGTCCCTAATCTTACGCTTTGACGGGAAGTCCCCGCAACCCGCAAAACGTTATGTTTTGGATGAGTCTTTTGAGTATCCTCTATTGGCCATGTGTTCAGCAAGCTCAGATTTTTGTACCCACAGACCTTTACAAGCGTTTTTGTGTTTGCATTGCCTTATATGAATTGGTCGGCTGCTCTTTCTCACATAGACCTTACCACGTGAGCCAGCCTTTCAGTAGCCTAATCTAGAAATAGGATCTGAATATTCTCTACATGAAGGAACTACTTAAAAAAGTGTTAATTTCTCTTTTCCACTTTTCCAGTCCTCCACTGTTTACAAATTGTTGCAGAATACCCTTAGGGCCTTATGTCGAGTCCCTAATTATATTTTATCTAATGCCTCTAACATTTTCTCTACATAATCAGTCTTATCCATAACTACTTCTGCTTTTCCTTTGTCTGCCCTTGATACTAATTGCTCGTTCGCCTTAATTTTCCTTATAATACTATTAACTATCCTATTATATGGTGTTCCTGCATGAGAATCTAGTAGAAGGATAACTTGTAATTCACTGCCACTCCTAGGATCCTCTGGGAAACTGTCAGTAAAACTTACCAATTATATCAAAATTTATTTTTTGAAGTCCTTGCCATTTGGAAAGGCAAAGTTTAAGTCCTTTGCTAGGACCTCAGTAGAAATGTCCAATGAAATATTGGACAGATTTAATACTTTTTGGCAACGGCTTTCCCTACACTCCAATTTATTAGATGTAGGTCGTTTCCTTGGGCCAATTCTTATACTCGAATTTCTTTGTTTCTTATGTGTCTTTCTAACCTGTCGGAAAATATTGTAATGTAAACTATCCTCTATACCTTGGAGTTTCAGAAAGTCTTCCGAACTAAGAGCATCGAACAAGATTTGCTTAAGTCTAGTCTTAGTTCCAACCAAGTAATGTAGTGTTTTCCTTAAAATACGAAGATAAACTGTGTTTCGATTAATCTCCTGAGATAACTTTTACAAGCAAGAGTCCCAGCTCTGATGATGTTCATCATATGATGGACGAAAGGTCAGCCCGAGAGAGGAGGTCTTGTGGACTGCGTCAACCTGAATGTCGTATAAAAGCCAAACTGATGCAGTACAACGGGATTCATCCGTCCTATTTTGGTGAGATCAACGTAATAATCTTTTCTTCATGCACTTTCATACGAAATGAAAGTTCCCTTAACAATGTTTTCCTTAAATCTAATATCAACGAAATCATGGCATACGTCCGAAAGATCGGTTTTAGTCTTACGAGGTAAATTAGGTCTAGCAATAATAGAAGCTATAGGTATAATTCTACGGATAGAGCAAGCTTTCAAAAAACGAATTCAATTCACTTGCCTGGCCAACGATTTCTTGTTTTTTGTATACAAGGAGGAGTTCCGAAAAGAATGAAAAATATCTTCGAAGTACGCACCATTTTCATTCTTTCTGAATTCGTCATTATATACAGAGACCAATCACTTGCTGGCCAGGCAAGTCACATTCGTTTCTTGAAAGTTTACTCTTCCCATTGAATTATATCTAGATTTTGTATTTTTCTAGACATAATTTACATTGCAGGACTAAGACCGATCTTCTGGACATATGCCATGATTTGGAAACTTAAGAAAACATTGCGAAGTGTGAAGTTATTTACTGTTCAAATAAAAATACGGCAATCTTAGTTTCCTTTTTAGGCTTGCCTGTCTATTTTAGCAAAAATTTCGATATAAGGCTGTCTTAAAGACACATGGAGTATGTGGGGATTCTTTTACCATATATTGTTGAGTACACCGAATCAAGGTGTCGGGCCCCTTGATATGCTGAGCAGCCGTTGGTCCGGAATAGCCGTGGCCGTGGCAACAAGTAGTATTAAAGAAGTCATTTTCCTGCGGGCTAGACATCGTCATACTTCTTTCTCAAACCGTTATTGGACCTGGCCACGTCGCCTCGGGGGCAATGGAGCGGATGGGGACAGACTTGGGGCGGGGGCGGTCGTGCAAGGTTCGCTATTTTTATGCTAATGCTCAATGATTGGGCTGATTTGAGTTGTAAAGTCATATAATTAAGGAGTGTTAATGTACTAGCAAAGATCAGGACTTGAACCCAAGAGAGGAAAGTCAAATGGTCCTTGTTTCGGGTTGTGTTCTACCCACATTTAAGCACTTATCCCGCCCTCCGAACTATACGCCCAGTCATTTTGTGAGATACTTCCGCCTGTTTGGATCATGAAACAGTCGGGTTTGAGCATGAGCTTAAGCAAGCAGGAGTAGGGCTAGTCAAGAGCAGTTTATCGCGGTACATATGTGAGGGCAGGCGTCGATCTAAGGCGATTGCATCTAAGCGGCTGGAGGGAGTTGTTTAAAGCCAGATTGCTCGCCTTGAAGTCCGATGTCGGAACATGACTTAAAATAATCGCATATATACGCATCTCAGACGACCCTGTGAGCTAACTATCTTGGGTATGAATAAGTAAAACGAGTTTTTCACTGGACTCTACATGGCCGAGTGTGTTCATGCATCATCTTGCAGTGATAAGGGTCAGATAGGGAGCCAGTACACGCTGTAGAAACCCTAACATTCCTAACAAGAGAGTACATTGGATATGTAGGGAGCGAGACGACTTGTAGAGGAGTTGCACTACCTCGTTTTCACAGCCTAATAGGATTGTGAGGCATCGAAGATCGTAGTTCATGCTGCGACCACTACTAGTATGGCTGTTTTTATTTAAAGCATCGGAAATGTGGCCAGGTACCTTCCGAGACGTTGTGCCTGCATCTTTTGTTTGAGGAGCATGCCGTGGCTCCAGGCTACAACCCACTTAGGTTGCACGTTAAATCGGTCCCATTAGGAAACGCAGCTAACAATCTTGGAAGTCCTCATCATGTTGTCAGCTCTCCTGGACCATAGTCCTCTGTAAGTATTTCACTATATCCATTCAAAAAGGCGTACCACTCGAGTTTTACTGAACTAAATGTGACGCAACTCTGAGGAAATACGACAGGAAAGAGAAAC